TTATAAAATAAACCGATGCAACATTGTTATGTTAACATTACAGATTAAGTTTCAGTATTTATAAGTTCAATAAATAAAAAATAAAATTTCAATATTGCATTAAACTTGGTTAGAACATCAGTTGAATTACAAGAAAAGTACAATCACTTAAATAATGTTAAGGCATTGTAAACAAGAAGAACTAAATGCAATAAATATCTACACAAAATGCCAACATTAATTCTCCTAACAAGCCAAAATGTGTGGATGATATTACATCCACTCATCGAGTAATACATCGTTAACGAGTCCAATTAATTACAATTCAGGGATTAACTTCATCGAATTTCTGAAAAACAGCATGCATAAGTGTTTCAGATATACCAGGATTTTCCATTTCAGCATCCTCGAAAGCCTTTTTCAAGGCATCCAATGTGAGCTGAGATTTTTTGGATGGTGCATTCATACGCAACTAATTTATAAAAAATGATAAGCAACCAAACTAACGTTCATGAATAAATGTACGTATTAGAACATTAACATACTTTATCTATTGAAGGCACGATTACTTTTTTAAAAACTGCTGGTCCAGTTACAGGCTCTTCATTCTTTTCATTATCATTTGAGTATAAATCTTCGACCTTTGACATATCAACATGCCTGACTGTGTCATAATCAGAACCTCTAGATTTCATTACCTGATTAAATTAAGATAAAATATCAAGACTATTCAACGAGAAAATGTATGTATATGATCTGAATAAATATAATAATTACCGTCGCGTGTTTTCCTTTTGCCGGCCCAATCGTTGCATTGTCTTCTGAACCCTCACCGTCATCATCTGATGAATGAGAAATTGGCTTTGGAAAATCCCACGCTGTATCCTCTCCATCATCACCACTAAGTGATTTAAGTGTAATTATCCAAAAAGTTTTTAAAAAGGAAAAAAAAACAATCAAAATGCCATTTACCCGTTCTCAGAGTGATCCGATTCGTCAGACTCTTGCTGACCACCCCCTTCAGCCAACCATCTTTGATGTCGTTCAATTAATTCAGTTAAATATGATGTTTTCTTTGCATTTCTGATAAATTTGTGCTTGAGTAATTCTTTTGCCGATGGTCGCTGATATTTTATAGGATGCACCAAGTTTCATAAAATTAAACATATTATGGATTCATAAAAACACTAATGCATCGCGACATACTTTCACCGGATCTTTATCCAAACACTGTGAAATAAATTCCTTGAATGATCTAGAATATCCACCATCCAAGGATGGTGGTGGATTTTTAGGGATAAGAAAGAGAACTTTCATCGGATGAAGATCCGAGTAAGGAGGTTCACCTTTAGCAAGCTCGATTGCGGTTAT